GTGTGTGTGTGTGTGTGTGTGTGTGTGTGTGTGTGTGAGAGAGAGAGAGAGAGAGAGAGAGAGAGAGAGAGAGAGAGAGAGAGAGAGAGAGGTGGCATGGAGTTAGGGATGTAGAGAGAGGATATATTACTGTTATTGAGAAGTAGCTGTATGGTGGCTGTGGTAAATGCAGTCCAGTAGTAGCAATGGTAGTGGCAGTATAATAGTAGTAGTAGTAGTAGTAGTAGTAGGGCTATGGTAATAGGTGGTAGCAGCACTAGTTGGTATGTTGGTGGGCCATCTGTGGCCAGCTGAGCCTGTCAAGGTTCAGCTGTAGTGGAACCTGTAGACGTTTACGGTCTCAAGCCCCAGGATTATAAAACAGAACAGGCCATAGTGTAATTTACGTACCATATGTTGGTGGTATTCTTGGGGTCTGAAGCTGTCTACTTGATTTCGCTGTTGTGATTAGATGATGGGTTGGTTTGCAGGTCCAGATTCTCTGATATCATCCACATTTTTCATGTGGATTTGTTCCCTGTGATTGTTCTCAAGGGCTGTTCTGAGCGTTCTGTGTGATGTGTCCAATGGCAGTGATTGCTTACGGATGTTCATTTCGTGGCTTTGTCTTTTGAGTGCAGATGCAGTGATACGCATGCTCAACCTGAATGTGCCCGTTGCGAGTTCGGTTGTTGGCACTGCTGCAGAAGAGGAGGTCTACAAAATCCTGATTTTAGATCGGTTTTGTCGGGACATCATCTCCCCCCTCCTCAAAGTGAACGAGCTGAGGAAGCATGGTGTCACGCTGCATTTCATGATCGAAAGTGATAGGCAGAACATTCCGGATGTGCCTGCAGTTTACTTGGTTCAGCCAACGGAGGCCAACATTCAGAGGATCGTTCAGGATTCGTCTAGGGGTGTCTATGATGCTCTACATCTCAATTTTGCCTCTTCTTTGCCGCGGCCCCTCTTGGAGGAGCTTGCCACAGGCGCACTTAAAGCGGACTGCCTGCAGCGAATCGTGAAAGTGTATGACCAGTACCTTGACTTCATCACGCTGGAGCATGGGATGTTTTCACTCGCGCAGCCACACACGTATGTGAAATTGAACGAGCCTCCGGAATCGGAGAAGGACGTCTTCGATGCTATCGATGCGATCGTGAGTGGGTTGTTTTCCGTTCTCGTCACTTTGGGTGTGGTTCCCATTATCAGGTGTCCGAAAGGCGGGGGCCCTGCGGAAATGGTAGCATTGCGCCTCGAGACGAAGTTGCGCGATCACCTTGTGTCGCGGAACAACCTCTTTTCGGAGGCATCGCAGTTGTCGAGCACCTTTCAGCGCCCGCTTCTTTGCATATTTGACAGGAACTTTGATCTGGCGGTGGCAGTGCAGCATGTGTGGACGTATCGCCCTCTCGTTCACGATGTCCTCGGATTGAGGTTGAACCGGGTTGTGGTTCAATCGGAAACCGCGGGGGGCGTTCCTCCGCCGATGCGTGCTGTTGTTGGGGCAGGTAAGTCGCAAAAGTCGTACGAGCTCGACGATACGGATCCGTTCTGGACTGCGAACAGCGCATCGCCGTTTCCTCGCGTTGCAGAACAGGTGGAGGAGCAGCTTAACGAGTACAAGAGAGACGTCGAGGAGGTGAGCAGGAAAGCAACTGGTGAAGGCGAGGCAGAGGACGGCGAGCTGACGGGAAATGAGCTCGTTGGAGGAAACACAAAGAACCTCATGAATGCTGTCAACTCGCTCCCGGAGCTGACGGAACGGAAAAGGATCATCGACAAACACACGAACATCGCAACGGCTTTGCTTGGAGAGATCAAGGCCCGGGCATTGGACGAGTATTGCTTGACGGAGGAAGATCTGCTGACCCGTGGGACATCGGATCGCGGAGCGGTGATTAGCAAAATGAAGGGGAAGGGGACGGTGGAGGACAAACTTCGTCTCGCCGTGGTTTACCTCCTGGCTGTCGAGAATCCGCCGCCGTCTGACCTAGAAGCCATTGAAGCGGCGTTGCAGGAGATTGAAGCAGATCTTGCGCCGCTCTACTACATCAAGAAGATGAGATCGTGGAATTCGTCGTTGGCCGCCGCCAATGCGGGAAGCCGTGGTAACCTCCTTGATTGGGCGGACAAGCTGTACGGTCACGGCATTAGCGCTGTCACAGCAGGGGTAAAAAATCTGCTGTCGGGTGCAAGACAGCTGCCTCTTGCAAGGGCTGTCGAGTCTCTGATGGATGCAAAACCCTCACCTGATACGGACTCCTACTTGTTTCTCGATCCTCGGGCTCCACGAGGAGCCACAGGTAGTGCTATGGATGCTCCGGGAAGGTCCAGGGGCCCATTTAGGGAAGCCATTGTCTTCATGATTGGAGGGGGTAATTACTTGGAGTACGGGAGTTTGGTAGACTATGCTGGGAGACAGCAACCGGCAAAGAACATCATTTATGGTGCAACAGAGATTTTGTCAGGAGCACAGTTTGTGGCTCAGCTTTCTGAAGTTGGGAAAAAGATGGGAGCAGGTGGGAATCCGGGGTCTGCACCGGGATCTGGAACAGCAACTGCATAGTCCTTTTGACTCCTTTTCATCCTTTTTGCATCATCGTCTTCCTTCTCATTTCCCCGACGATGTTGTGCCTCATGATGCGTCTGATCTTCTTTTTCTCTCTCCCAAGTTTCAGTTGGACACCCCTGTGTTGCCCCCCCCCCCTCCCTCGTCTCCGATTCTGAGCATGACCTGCTCGTCTTGAGCACATGCTTCCTCTCCCCCGCCTTTCCCTCTTTTTTCTCAGGTTTCGAACGCCTTTGCAATTTCCCGTCTGGTTTCGCACGCTTTTGTGTTTGCCTTCACTCCAGCAAATTCATCGATTTCCACACACCTACCATCAGCTGAAAGCTTTGCCGTTCTCCCAAACATATTTTATCATTTAATGGATAGAACGCGGTGGCACATTTTCTGGTTGGAGGACCCTTGGGGGTGCGCTCAAAATTCTGCACTGGGTAGTGGAGGAGGAAGAGGGGGAGAAGAGGGTTCTGGGAGACGGGGGGGGG